CTGCTGCCTCCGCCACCAGCAGCACGGGCTCTAGTCGTTCTTTGAAACTTCAGTTTAGTGGCCTTTAGTCACCAGAAGGGGAAGACATCATTTCAGGAGGGCAGCTGTGTAGCGCCCAAAGGAGCTATGCTTTTTAAATTAACCCACTTGAATAAATTTATGACATATTTTAAATTAATACTAGTTTAAGATCCCCCCTTACACCCAGGCTTTAAAAAAGTAAAAGCAGCCAGATTCTGCTCTCTAGAGCACACAACGCTGCAGAGTTGGGTAGAGGAGGGAAGCAGCAAAGTTCTTTGCAAAGCTGTGGTGGGAAAGTACGGTACAGCCCTCAATTACAAGCCTGCGTCCACAGCACTGCCTTTTAAACAAGGTAAAAAGAGTTTGAAACTGCATGAATGGATTTGGGACAGGCAAGCAAGATGAGAGAAATCTTTTTTTTTTTAATCACACCAAAAATGTCTCCACCTGGTTACATATGAGACCATAAAATATCACCAATTACAAGAGCATTTCTCCCCAGGAACCCCGTTCCAGAAAGGAAGTAGAAATCCACAAAGGTACTCATTACACTTAATACCTTCATTACCATCTAATTTTTTAGACCACATTATGAACTCCACCATTAAATGCAAGTACTGCAGACCAGTTTCAATTAAGATTATAATCACTTGTTGACATTCAGTCAAACTTCTCAATTTGTTTTGGTTTTAAAAACACAATATAATACTTGTACAGTCTTCAGGCAGGAAAACCATATGTTTCCCCTTTAAGTACAGTTTTAACAATGCAAGTTATTCATTGAATGAACCAACCTGCCTGAAAAAAAATTAAAAGACAAAATTGAAACCTTCAGCTTTTACGTTCATAACTGATGTTATCATAAGCGATTAGAAGATTACATTACTCCAAAAGTCACATTCATCTGCGTTAATTCAAAGTGCCAATGTGAAAACTTTAGTCCATCTAATTAACCTCTTCCCATTTCCCATTTAAAACTAATTATCTTAAATGAGCCATTAAACAATTCTGAATGCAATAAAAAGAGGAATGGCTGCAAAATATTAAATCAGATGAGAAGGAAATACATTGGTTTATTTCCTTGTAAAAGCAATCACCTCTTCAATCGCAGACGCATTAACTTTGCTTTCAGCCTTTGACCTTCCAGTGTATGAGAAGTGACACTCCCACTCCCCTACAGTGGGCAAGGTTCACTATGGAAAGGAATACCATTTTAGAGGGCTGGGCAACTTTTTCCATTAGCTATTTAGAAATAGTCTCTGTATTTAGGCCTCTCAACAGCCAGAAGAGCAATCATTACAGACCAGCTACGTACTTTGTAAACCACCAAAAGTTACCTGGCAAGCGGTATGACAAAGAGGCAGTTCTCTTGTCAGAAGATTTTCATAGCCAGGTGATTTTTTTTTTTTTTAATACTGTCTTTAACTAAAATATACATCCACTAGGCAGGTTAATGATTCATAGTATCAATTAAGTACGAGTCAGCAGTAAAGTAAGTTTTCATCTTCTCCATCCTCTTTCATCTCCTGACTCTCCCCTGTTTAAAGCTCATGCTGAATTCAGACGTTCTTCCTTTTTTCCTAATACCTCCTTTGGAGGGAGCAGGCAAGTATTCCTGACTCTCAATGACTGAAATCGGTATTTTGTTGTTTTATCAGAAGACAACATACCTCTGCGGGCATTTGTTCTGTGCCTCTCCCCAGGAAACGCATGCCTGGGCTCTTTGCCTAGCCCAATGTGGAACGGGAGACTTTGGAACTCAAACAAAACATAACAAAGGAAAAACTCCTGAAGAATGCAGCATTGCTACCACTGAACTGTGACCTGGCTGGCTACTGATGTCCAAGTTAATTTCTCACACAGAAACTTTCTTTAGAAGTCTTTACACTTTGGATGGGCAATCCAAGGTCTTAAGGGAGGAGCAGGTGTCACTCATGGCACAAACTAACGGAAAACTTTCCAAATACTGAAAGCAGAAGTAAGATTAGTAACTTCTACAGCCATACTAGGGGAGTAACAAGCAAATACAGTGAGTCACCCTGTCAAATTACTTCAAAAGTAAGTAAAGACAAGTAAGGCTGGAAACCAGGGATCCTGCTATTAAGTAGTCAGCTACGAGGCTGCACAAAGTTGTGTTGATTTTTTCCTAAAGCCACATTAAAAAAAAAAACAAACCACCAAACAACCCACACTCTAGGCATCATATTGTGTGACCAGGCTATAGATCCGAAAGTCAGCAGGGACGGAAGCAAAGTTAACTAAATGGAATTGTCCTACTACTACAGAAGAAATTGTTTACTTCGAAGGAGAACAGGGAAAAAAGGCATCCCTGTATGTACTATAATTAAAAGTCAATCAACACAGAGCACTTAGAGATGCTCTGCATTCTGATTAACTTTCAGCTCTGTCATGGAAAACAAAGGGTACAAGACCAGGAGTCAAATTCTGGGTTTTATACTACCTCAGTTCTTGTAGTTTCATGCAGACTCTGGTATAAGACACAGCTGCCTAAATTTCTAAAAAGAAGGCAAATCTGAATTTAAGTGAGGTTCTGGATATTTGCAATTTCCCTTATAGAAAGCAAGTGATATGCCAAGCACCTACATCTCAAGGAATATTTAGTTACAGATCTTCATTATAAGAATTTTTATTTGCCTTAATGCCATTTCCCACAAAGAGGTGGAAGTGTTCATCTGTTCTCACAGGGAGAATATAAAAACTAAGTTATTTTTAAATAACTGTATCGTTTAACGGAAGCTGTGAAACAAACTGACTTCAAGACTAATTGAACAGAAATAGCTCACTACAAAAATCTACTTAGCTAATGCAGAAAGGTATAAGCCAAGAATAAAGGAGATGCTTTCAGGAAGCACGACCCTTGGAATTTGCTGAGGCTCTGCAGTCTACAGCAGCGGAGTTTGTTTGTCTCAAAGAAAGAGATCTAGGTGGAGGTGCAATATCACTTAAAAAAAAAGTCACATAAAAGTATGAGAATAGTAATAAATCTTTTCATTTTGAAAGGAAAAAGAAAGCAACACCATCACCTGCATTTTGAAAACAGTTCCATCAGCACTCGTGAAACTAACCTGTTAAAAGTTTAGGTACTCAGCTCCTGTTCTGTAACAAATAGTGGTTGTAATTGCATCCATCTTGTGTCTCTTATTCACCCAGATGCATGCAAGTCCTCAATTCAAATTGAAATTAAATTCTAGATAGCAGTAACAGCAGAACCCCAGTTCACATAAATGTAATGCAACTATTATTAAGTGGTCTTCCTTTTATATTACTACAAACTGAGTTTTATTCTTCAGCTACAAAATATCCTATTACCCACCGACAAATTGCTGTGA